GCACAGGCTCAGGGAGTTGTTTGGGTTGGGAGGGACCTTGGGGCTCATCCAGAGCCACCAGGGACACCTTCCGCTGTTCCGGGATGCTCCGAGCCCTGTCCGGCCTGGCCGTGAACACCGCCACAGCCTCTCTCCAACCCACTCCAGTGCCTCCACCCTCTCAGGGAAGAACTTCTTCCCAATATCCCAGCTGCCTCTAAGCCCAGGCTCCTCATCCCAAGCGGCCCTGGTCACTGGGCTCCCTTGGGCAGGGGTTCTTAGACCCCGTTGGAGAACCCCCCGGGCAGCCTTCAGCTGCGAGATAACGCTCTCAGGCTGTTTGCAGCTCAACTCTTACAAAGTGGTTACTTTCCATAGTAGAGGTCATGTAAGTACTTGCTCTGTGCCTACTCGTACTTGCAGCTCCCGTTTTCCCATAAGCAGGATGAGCTCCTAAGCAGGAAGGTGCTTTTGCAGAAGACACCTGCAGAAGGATAAGCTGATCGGGGAACAGTAACGCTACTCAAGCAGGAGGTCACTGGGGTTTGAAATCCCTCTTGCTCCCATAGGAAACCTAAGACAGGAATCCTGATGCTGAACATGGGAGGCCCGGAGCGCCTGGATGATGTCCATGATTTCCTACTTCGCCTCTTCCTGGACAGAGACCTCATGACCCTTCCAGCTCAAAGGTGAGTAGCACTTTGCTCACTGCTGCTGTCCTACCCGGAGGCTCTGTGTGGAGCAGGGTTTCAAGAAACAAGGTTCTGGGGCCATAGCTCATTCTCTTCTAATGCAGACTGTGGTGTCCTCCCGCCAAGGAAGTTTGGGAGGGTGATGGGATATAACTTCCCAAAGCATCCAATGCTGTTTGCTCTAATTTGGGTTTGAGATTTGGGCAGAAAGGTGGAGGTTTGGTGCTGATGCTGCTGTATATTCCCTTGAATGCTGCAGTAAGTTAGCTCCCTTCATCGCCAAGCGCCGCACACCCAAGATCCAGGAGCAGTACAGCAGGATTGGAGGGGGCTCTCCCATCAAGAAGTGGACTGCAGTGCAAGGAGAGGGCATGGTGAAGCTGCTGGACAGCATGTCTCCCCACACTGGTACTTTGGGCTTGCTAACAGCTGCTCTTGTTCATGTCTTAGAAGGATAAAGCAGCTTTTGCTGTTGGGTCTTTGTGCTGAGTGGCAACAGTGGCCTCAGTCCTGCTGGGAGTTCATGGTAAAGATACTGCAGGAGCATCAGACTGAAACAGGGGGGATTTAGGGTGGGTCTAAGGAAGGAATTCCCTACTGTTAGAGTGGAACAGGAAGCCCAAGGAAGCTGGGAATGCTCCATCCCTGCCGTGTTCAGGGCCAGGTTGGACGGGGCTCGGAGCAACCTGCTCCAGTTGAAGTTGGCCCTAGTTAGAAATTGATGATCTTCAGGTCCTCCCCAACCCAAACCAGTCTCTGGTATGCAGGAGCAGATGGAATCACCCTTGCAAATGTGTTCTGGTGCTGTGGTGGGAGTGTCGCTGTCCCTCTGCAATAGTGCTTGGGTGTCTCCCAGCCTTTTGTAGCTGTTAAAAATGGCTGGAAGAACACACGGGAGTTAGGCCTGCGATCAGGATGAAGGGGAGGTCGGGTGGGAGAAGAGACAAGGTCTGTAGGTGACCCTGGCAGGGCTTGGCTGGCTGATAGCAGGGAGCTCCACCCAGGGCAGCAGCAGGAGATAAGGCCTCACAGTTTGCCTTGGGTTGAGCTGCAAGTGGGTTTCTCTGCTGCTGCTTCTGAAGGTGGCTTGAACCTTGTTCAACCTGGCGAAAAGAAGGATGAGACCTTAGAGCAGCTCCAGTGCCTAAAGGGGCTGCAAGCAACCTGGAGAGGGGCTTGGGACAAGGGCCTGGAGGGCCAGGACAAGGGAGTGGCTTTAACCTGCCAGAGGGGACACTGAGATGGGATATGGGGAAGAAGTTCTTCACTATGAGGAGGGTGGGACACTGGGGTGGGTTGAAGCTGGGTCTGCCCCATCCCTGGCAGTGTTCAAGGGGCTTGGAGCAACCTGCTCTAGTGGAAGGGGTCATTGGAGCAACCTGCTCTAGTGGAAGGTGTCATTCAGTGTATAACATGTCTCTGATACCTCACTTTGGGTGATTTCTGTCCTTTCTTGCACTAGATGCTACTCTCCAGCTCAATTCCAGTTGCAAGCCTGAAGCTGGAACACCACCCTGCTGTGGCATCAGTGCTTTTTGCAGCCCCTGAGGGCGTCAGGCCTGTAACAGGCTCTGAAGATAAAGCTTTGGCAGTTTATCTGCTCTGCTCAGGGCTTGCCTTGGTTTGGGGACCACTTTCTGTGCAGTCACACCTGCCTCTGGGCAGCTCCTGCTGCTGATAAGGCCTTCAGAGCCCTCCTCTTCAGTGGGGGGTGGTGATAAGACTTGCAGCACATGGCGAACGAGAGAGTTTGTGTATTTCAGGTGGATTTTCATACAACAATAGATGGGTTTGGGGTGGAAGAACCTTAAAGCTCCTCCAGCTCCAACCCCCTGCCATGGGCAGGGCCACCTTCCACTAGAGCACGGTTCTTGTAGCCCCTTTAGGCATTGGAAGATGCTCTAAAGGCTCCCCGGAGCCAACCCCAAATTCCTCCTCAGGGCTTCAGTGTGTTGGTCTCTACTCTGTACTTACTACTGATGAGTTCTGGCGTTGTTGGCTCCCATTTCTCTCCTGTGCTTTGCCTGCAGCACCTCACAAATACTACATCGGCTTCCGCTACGTCCACCCGCTGACAGAAGAAGCCATTGAAGAGATGGAGAAAGATGGCATTGAAAGGGCTATTGCTTTCACCCAGTACCCCCAGTACAGCTGCTCTACCACTGGTGAGTGTCCACGCTGGAGCAGAGCAGTGCTGAACATTCCCATCCCCCTTGCATGGGGCTTGGAGCGACCTGCTCTAGTGGCAGGGGGTTGGGGTTGGAACTGGATGAGCCTTAGGGTCCCTTCCAACCCAGCCCGTTCCTGTCCAGTTCTGCTTCACAGCTCCAGTTTGAAGATGTAGCATTAACAACTACATGAATTCATTGCTACAAAGCAGTTTTAACCCGAGGGGCTGTCAATGCACTGAATTCTCTGGGTTGCAGGAAGCAGTTTAAATGCCATCTATCGCTACTACAGCCAGAGGGGGGCGAAGCCGAAGATGAAGTGGAGCATCATTGACCGATGGCCCACACATCCCCTGCTTATCCAGGTATGGAGTTAGCAGGTTAATGCAGGAATACTCCAATTTGAGGCTATACTCTAGTTATGCTGGTGAAATATGATGTGCTAAGTATGAAGTGCAGCAGAAGAGTGGTTATTTCATGCCAGATGCTTTGGCGCGGTCCTGTGTGGACGAGCCCATCCTGCACAGCGTCCTTTGAAAGCATAGTTGTGTCATCCCAGCAGTGCTGGCTGGAAGGAGCCTCTAGAGGTCATGCTGCGTCCAGCTTTGGGCATCTTAAAGGCAGGCACAACCTGGCCTTGAACACTGCCAGGGATGGGGCAGCCCCAGTGTCTCTGGACCTATTCCAGTGTCCCACCACCCTCCCAGGGAAGAACTTCTTCCCAATATCCCATCTCAGTGTCCCCTCTGGCAGGTTAAAGCCATTCCCCCTTGTCCCATCCCTCCATCCCTTTGTCCAAAGCCCCCCTCCAGCATTCTTGTGCCCCTCAGTGTTCCTAATCCAGGTCTTTGTGTTCTGAACAGTGCTTCACCGATCACATACAGAAGGAACTGAACCTCTTTCCACCTGACAAAAGGAAAGACGTCGTCATCCTCTTCTCGGCTCACTCCCTGCCCATGTCTGTGAGTAACATCAGGGCGTTCCTGGCCTTGTTGGAGCAGAGTCACCTCGAATGGGCTGAACAAAGGGTGTGCTCCCCTTTTCCAGTGCTCTGTTCCCTGGGAGAGCCAAGTGTGGTGTGTTTGTGTTGAAGGTGGTGAACCGTGGCGACCCGTACCCTCAGGAGGTGGGAGCTACTGTCCAGAGAGTCATGGAGAAGCTGAACTACTCCAACCCTTACAGGCTTGTGTGGCAGTCCAAGGTAGGTGCTCAGGGAGCCTGCAAAGCTACCTCATACTGCAAAGCTGGAGAACTTCCAGCTTGAGAAGGTCACAACCTCAACACCTTATTCCCATTCTGAGCATTTCAGTCTTCCCACTGGATCTTCATCAGAGGAATGTGAGCTTTACCCAGACAGGCTTTGTTATTCCCCACAAAGACTGCTTGTGTTACTTTGTGCTTCCCCATTCAAGCCATTCCAGTGTCCCCCCACCCTCACAGGGAAGAGCTTCCGAAGCTCTCACCTGGTCTGTGTTGTCCTTAAGAGTAAGTGGCTGCTCTATGTAAGAATGATTTAATAAAGCTGATTCAGCCCTTATTTCCCTCCCCTCTTCCCACAGGTTGGACCAATGCCTTGGCTTGGCCCCCAGACAGATGAGACCATCAAAGGCCTGTGCCAGCGAGGGAAGAAGAATATGTTGTTGGTCCCAATAGCCTTCACAAGTGACCACATCGAGACGCTCTATGAGCTGGATATTGAGTATGCCCAAGTTCTAGCCAACGAGGTGAGTGCTTTGTGGTGGTTGTACTCTTTGGTGCTCTGGAATGACTGCTCCTGGCTGAATTTTGCTTTGGAGCTGCTGCTTTCAGTAGGATTTGGGGCAAAATGCAGGTGAACTTCAAAACTGGAAGTGCATCTGAACTGGTTTAACTCAAGGAAGGGTTTGGATCCTCACTAGTGAAGGCTCTGCCAGACTTAATTTGTTGGTTTTCTCCCTGTTTTTATCCAGTGTGGAGTTGAAAACATCAGAAGAGCAGAATCCCTTAATGGAAACCCACTGTTCTCCAAGGTATCTTTGTTGCAATAGTTGGAGTTTGCTACTAGTTGAAGTGTTTCCTATTAGACTCTGGATGTCTTCTTGGAGTTTTAAGAGCAAAAGTGGATTCCTCGCTACTTCATCTGTGCACCACAAAGTGTGTTCTTTTAGCACAGTTGGGGGGGGTTAAGAAAGAAGTTTGGTTTGACCAAAAAGGAGTCCACTTTTGTGTTCATTTCTAGTAATTTCCTCCGTAGTAGTAGTAAGTTGTAGTAAGTGTTTCTCTTAAGGTATTACACCAATGCAGTTTTAAAGCAGGATCTTCTCCTGAAGTAAAGGAGGAGCAGCTGCCAGTGCCTAAAGGGGCTCCAAGGAATGCAGGGACAGGACAATGGGAATGGCTTTAACCTGCCAGAGATTGAGGTGGGATATTGGGAAGAAGCTCTTTCCTGGGAGGGTGGTGGGACCCTGGGATGGGTTGAAAGGAGAAGCTGGGGCTGCCCAATCCCTGGCAGTGGTCAAGGCCAGGTTAGACTTGGAGCAGCCTAATGGAAGGTGTCCCTATTGGAATTAGATGAGCTTTAAGCTCCCTTCCAAGCCAACCCAGTGTGATTCCCTGATGAGAAAGCTCAGGGTGAGGGGTTCCCAGCGTGAAGGACACGTGTTAAAGCATCTCTCTTGCACAGACGGCTTTGCTCACTGTGTTCTCATCCCATCCTCCAGGCCCTGGCAGACCTGGTGTGTTCCCACATCCAGTCCAACGAAGTGTGCTCCAGGCAGTTGACCCTCTGCTGCCCTCTCTGCGTGAACCCCGTGTGCAGGGAGACCAAAGCCTTCTTCAGCAGCCAGGCACTGTGAGGGCTGCTGGGGCAGCAGCCCTGGGCCCCACCACCAGAACATCCCCCGGGATGCTGTGCCAGGGGAAGGAACTGCTCCAGCAAACCTCCTCCACCCTTGCAGGCTGGTACTCTGAGGTGTAAACCTCGCGTAGCACTGAAGTTCACTTTTGGGCTTGATTCTTTTGCTTCCGTTGTCTTGCTTTGAGAAAGAGCTTGTAGAAAGTAGGGAAATGGGGATGTGAATCCCGGGGGATGTGAGGAGCTCTCGTTCCATCTGCTTCTGCTTGGACTTCTGTGAGCACTGAGAAACTTCCCTACAAATGAGCTTCTACTTCCTATGCAGGGATTGATGTGTAGGCGATTGTCCTGAGTGCGTTCATCAGCTTTCCAAGCACACCAGGAGCTGATGCTGAAGGTGGGGTATAACCACCACAGCCACTGATTGTCTCTTCAGGTGGCTTTGAAGATCAAGTGATTTCTACTGCTCTTTAAATCATGTCTATTTGGGGGGGGGTTAGGCCATAATGATCAGGGGTTGGGTTGCTTTTGGTTTCCTCCTGCCACAAACTTCCAGTGAAAGCTCAACAGGGATAGCAGAATGCCCCAAACCTGTTTACATTTGCCCCTGTCCTTGGCTGCAGGAAAGCCTCTGCTTTTGAGGAGCAGGAAAGGAACCAACCTGCTTAGATGCTGCGAACTGCATGTTTCCACCTCAGCAGCTATAGCAGCGTGGGGGGGTTCTCTCTGAAGCAGAGTGGCTTTAAATATCATTGTTAAAAAGGGCTTTCTGTGGTGAAGTAGCTTTTGCTTTGCTCGCCAGGAGGTTCTAGATGTGCTTTCTACTGTGCCACTTTGTACCTATGGAGCTCCATAGGCTTAGTCGAGGTGGTTTTTCAGAACTAAGTCAGGAGTAAGTCAGGTGTAACCTCCATTGCTTGAGATTAAGCAGCAGCTTTAGCTGGGTGCTTACACACCTCTCTCAAAGCCACATCTGGACACCCTGGCACCCAGCTAAACCTCTTGCTTGCTTTGGCACATCAGGATGAGCCCACTCCTAAGCTGTGGTAGGTTTGTGGGGAGAAAACCCCCCTCAGCACCAGGACCAGGGTTGGAACTGGCTGAGCTTGAAGGTCCCTTCAAGCCAAACCACTCTGTGGCTCTGTGAGGAAGGTTGTGCCAGTGTTCTGTGGGACTGAGCCATACATGTTCGTGTAGCTGCCACCTTCCTGGGTCTACGTGTTTACTTGAGGTCATGAGCACTGAATTAGCAGTATTTGGGCAGTGCAGGGTGTTTCCTCTCTGCTGTTGGAGGAGCTCACTTGTATTTGCTTGTGTGATGGGGCATGAACACTTCGAACCCCTCGTCTTTCAAGGGGAGGGTGCTGAGAAGGAAAATAGGCCCCTTGGTAGCACAGGGGGGTTATTTTGTGCTACTTGATGTTGAAAGAGGGAAACATGGGGTACTAAAGACATGAGGGTGTGCTGAGCAGCCTGTGGCTTAACACAGCTCGGATGTCCCCACTGCCATACTGCAGCTTCCACAGGGAGACGGCCTGAGCCCCTCCTGTGCCACTGCTGTCCCCTCGTGTGAGCACAACTAAGTCTTCCTCAACCCTTCCTGTCCGTGCCTCTCCAGAGGCAGGGAGCAGGAGCTGGGGCTTCTCTTCCCCCTTCCTTGGCAGGAGGAAGGAACACGGATGCCTGGGAGGGGAACACTGGCCTTATGTCACATTGGACAAAGAATTCCTCCCTTCCCACCATACTTCCTAGCGGGAATGGTGCCCTTCACCTCCAGCTTGTGGCAGCGCGTTGAGAAGCTGCAAAGTGAAGGCCAACTTCACGTGAGCCTGGTGATGCTCTGAATACACATGGGTTCCATACTAGGAGACTACTCCAGGTCTTAACCAGCACCACTTAGGAGGCATTCCGTTTGTCCCCAGCCCTAAATGTACTTCAGAGTCCCTCTTGAGCCTGCAAACCACAAGTGAGAGAATTACTAAGCCTCTTGCTGCTCTTAGCCCATAATGGAGACCTCACTTAATTTCCCAGCTTGTAGCACTGGTGGGTTCTTCGTGGTGCTCAGCAGATCAGGTACCATCCCTCTGTCCTGTCTAACATCATTGTGGCATCCAGAGGCTGGTGGGAAGCTACCTGAGGAGTCAGCTTGGACCCCTGCTTAATGCTGGTAATAGAAGCCAAGGGGACAGTGGGTTATCCCAGCATAATCCTGGCTTTTCCCTTTGGGAGCTAAGAGTGGAATTCCTCTGACCTGACTTTAGATGCTTCCAATGCACATGTTGACATCTGAGCTGGTCTCCTGGCTCCTAGTGTTTGGTTTACTACCTGTTCCTGAGCAATTCTTCCTCTCTCAGAGCAATGGGCTGGGTGAGTTTTCCTCTGAGGAGGAAGGGAGCACGTTGCACTAACTCAGAGCGTAAGGAGAGATGAGTCCCATCCATGTAGTGCCTTCTTCTCCAGCACAGCACGTGTGGCCATGCCCACTGGGGTCTTAATCCCACAGCTCCCGCTCACTTTGCCCCTCTGGCAGGTTGGTGCTACTAACTCAGGCCACTACTAATCCACTTGGATCCCTGTTGTTACCCATTACACTCCCTTTACGTTTCACTTGCAAGTGTTGAGCAGCGACAGTGCCCTGGCTGTTGGGAGGGAGCTGGAGGGATGTGTGAGCAGCTCACACCATCTGTATCCCGGGATTTCCCTGGGAAGAGCCTGTTTGCAGCGCAGGCTGCCAGTGGGAAGGGGAATTCCATTCCCTGAAGTGGGAAGGGAGGGAGATCTTCACCCCAGCACTTAGAGGAGTTCTGAGGAGAGAGCTGGGAGGCAAAGGGAAGGATTTTCTCAGGATGAGGCTGCTTTCCTGGATGTGCTTTGGAGAATGGGATAGCTTCCCAAAGTGGTGCTGCAGCAGTAAGAGCTGTGTGGATAGTGCCTGAGCTCCCCTCCTGCTCCCTCTGGAGAGGAGGTTAAGCTCAGAAGGAGTAGGATTTTCCTGGGAATATCCCTTGCTTTTCCCCTAAAGAGCTGGAATTCATCAGGATGGGAGGGGGGGAGAAGTTCCTTTGACTTTCTAATGCCAGACACGTCCAAAGACTCGCTTTTAGCCCAGCGCAGGGATTTCACACCGAACGAGGACTTCCAGTTCATGTAACCCGCCGAGATTTGTATCATCTCTCCATTATTTGCCATAAAGATGGAATTTCAATTAAACTTTTGGAAGAAACAACTGGAATGTGTGTGTTTAGTCTGGATAATGATGTTTGATGTCTTCTCTGTCCTTGTATCCACACCAGAAAGCGCTTGAGCAGGAGGGGTTTCCCAATGGATATCTGCAGTCCGAGCTGCTTGTTCTGCTCACGCTCAGGTGCCTCCAGGCAGTTTTCCATGTTGGAGAGGGTCACTTCCCACTCACCTCCAGGACTTCCCAGCTTCCCAGGTGACAAACTCCAGCCCCAGCTAAAGTGGGCCCTGGTGGAACTGTCAGTCTGAAGATGGGGAAGGAGAGCTCTGTGCTGGTTGAATCCCCCCTCTGATTGATGTATCCAGGTCTCCCTTAGCTCTCCAAGCGTATTCCTTATGTTAAATATGAAGTGTTTGGTTATATTCCAGAGCAGTGAGGAATTCTGTTGGATACTGCTCCATTAGTGAGCTCCTGCTGCTTGGCTGTGGCTGGGGAAGCGCTGCACAGGTGGAAGACGGGAGGAATGAAGGAGGATGGTGACTTCCCATCCTTTCTTTCCTCCGGTGTTCCAGGCAGTAGCTTTGCCATCATAAATCATGGAATCACACTGGTTTAGCTTGGAAGGGAGCTTAAAGCTCATCCAATTCCAATAGGGACACCTTCCACTAGAGCAGGTTGCTCCAGCCTGGCCTTGACCACTGCCAGGGATGGGTCAGCCCCAGCTCCAACCCGTTCCAGTGTCCCACCACCCTCATCGTGAAAAGCTGCTTCCCAATATCCCATCTCCATCTCCCCTCTGGCAGCTTAAAGCCATTCCCCTTGTCCTGTCCCTATGTTCCTTTTCCAGGTTTCCTGGAGCCCCTTTAGGCGCTGGGAGCTGCTCTGAGCCCCCCCTGAAGCCTTCTCCAGGTGCTCTGAGGACGCTTCACCCACCCTCACCTCCGTCCCTCTCTTGTGTGCTGGAGATCTTCCTCCACCCCCTTTCTGTGCCCCAGCCCCGGCTGCCAAGAGGTGGTTGTTCCTAATGGCTTTCTCCATGCGCAGCGTGATGCTTTCAGCTCTGCCCCGAGTAGTTCTACTCTCTGGTGCTGTGTCAGCCTTTCCTGGCCCCTGGGGAGGGGGAATGTGGCTTTTTCCTGAGAGCCCTGCCAGCCGTCAGCAGGAGGTAGTGTCCCTCGTTACTCCTGCGTGCACAATGGATGGTGACAGCAAGGGGGTGAGGCAGTTGGACTTCCAGCTCCGCATCCCTCGCTGCTCCTGGGAGGAGGAGCATCCAGCCCTGGACCAGCACCTCTGGGCTGTGTTACCCTGTCCCCAGCCCCTCTTGCTCCGACTTTGTCCCCTTCTCCACGGGGACACACCTTGAGCTCCTCCTCCCCTTACATACTTACGGCCTTTGGGATCCCAATGCCAGCAATGTGACCGCAGGGCTCCGGATGAGCCGTCCTAAAGGATGCGCTGAGCCAAGCCAAGGGATGCAAAACCTTTTCCCAGCTCAAATGGAGCAGGAGGCTCAAAGGCAGGTTTTAGACGTGGTCCAAATGATTTGGAAGAGCAGAACTCCGATATCCCATCTAAAGTCCCTTCTAGTTCAAATGCCCTCCTGCAGCTGAGCATTCGGAGCAGGGAAGGTGGGAATACAGTGAGTTAAATCCCTGCAGCCAGGAGGGAGCCGCGCCACCACCGTGGAGCAGCACCACTGTCAAGCTCATCCTGATGGATGTGCTGCTTGCCCAGCACTGCCACAGGAGGAGAAGGGGGAGAATCCCTATGGATGTAATACCCTTTGGGGCTCAAACCGATGTTTCTCAGGCCACAGG